GTGCTTTGGCTTGCTTTTATATAAAGTGTATATTGATTTTTTTTAATTCTTTTTTGTTCTTAACTACCTTCTTCTTATAGGTCCACATTGTGAAGATAAAATTGAAAAAATTTTAGAAATAACTTTCAAAAGTTACCCAAACATTATAGATTTTTCAATTGGATTAATCACATGTAATTTAGATTATTTGGAAATTCCTTGGATTCCAAACTTGCAATATTTGATACTATATCAAAATCACTTTATTATTAATTTAGAAAATACAAAATTAGATGATTACTTGGAACAGCTAGCAAATTCATTACCTAAGTATATAAAAGAAATTAAAATATGGATAGTTTTGTCAGATTATGAGGATGAAGTAAATTTAGTTGATTTATGTAAATTTTTTTGTAGTATTAATTCTATAGAAGGTTCGTCTGTTCTTTTAGAGATCATTATACCATCCAATGCACAAGTAGTTTCAAAGAGCGTTCAATTTGATGAATTTGGAAAACCAAAAAAAATTGAAGGCAAAAATCTCGACAATTTAATTAGCTATAATACTTCAGTTGACATGTTATTTTAGAATTGATGTTTTTATAAGCATAAATTTATTAAAACTGGTTTACAAATTCTACTATTGTTATTATTAGTTTATAAAAAAGATTATAATTTTTATTATTACAACTTTTATAATTTACTTGTGAAAATTAAGACTTGTATTAGAAGTAAAAAATTTTTATATAAATGGAAACATATAAAATTTTAGAAAATTTAAAAAAAATTTTATAGCTAAAGTTTTAAAACTTTTATTACACAAAAGTTTTTTTAATAATTTTCAAATTTTTTTTTAATAAAGCTAATAAAATATATTTTAAACTATGTTTTTTAAATAGAAAGTATATAGCTAAAATTAATATTTGAGATTTTATTAAAGAATTTTAATATATCAAAAGTACATACTCTCTGCTAATTATTTTTACTAAAAATAGACAAAACAAAAAAATGACAATCAGCTAGAACTATTCTAGAAAACCTGTTCTAATACCTTAGAGCCATGTTATTAATTACCTGATTATTTTTTATTAGAGACCTAACTCTCTCCCTTCTCTTAATATATAAATAGTCAGGTTTTTTATATATAATTTCACTTTTTTTACCTCTTTCCTCCTAAAAATCACTTGATTTTTGACACTTCTCTTAAGAAAAAAAAAATATATATAAAATAACATAGAGTTTATTAGAAGCTGCACTTTTTCAACTGATAAATAAAGCACCAAAAGAAACTTTTAAGTTTTTCATCAAAAATTTTTAGAATTTTAAGAATTTGTTAGAATCTCTGTATGGCTAATCAAATTTAATTATACAGATATGTAAACAAAAAAGTAAACAAACAATAGTTTATGTTCCTTTTTCATAAATAAGCAAAAAGTTTAAAGTAAACAAAAGAGTCACAAGACCAAACAATAACAACAAGAATAAGCATGTATTTTTTTTTAAAAGAATTTAGAATAGTATTAGCAATAGTAACAAATAGATACTAGTTGATGAACAAGATAAGCTTAGATTTAGAAATTAAAATGAATGAGTTACACAAACAGGAGCTACTTAAATTTATTTGGAAAGCAGAAGAAAAAAACTTTAGTTACTTAGATAGCAATATATTAATTAAAGCACTTAAAGATACAATACTACATATTCTAAATAATATAGAACAAATAGCATACAGTATAGCAATCAGCAACCCAAATGAGATTACAAAACAAAATCTGTTAATTTATAGTCAGATGCTTGAGGTTTTAAAGCAAATCAAAATAAGAAGCCTTAAAAATATATTAATCAAGAAATAGGTAATGAAAGCAAGAATAACAACATAATCTTGACTTAATCAATTATATAACAAACATAAGTAATTTAAAAATAGCAAAAGAGAAGAACAAAATATAAGTAAAAAAAGAAAACACAATTAATAAGTTTTAGCAAACAGGTCCAAAAAGGTGAAAACAAGAAGAAACAATAAGTAAAAAGATGGAAAATAAATATCAAAATATCGTTAATAATATGGAGGATCTTATTATTATAGCAAAAGCTAATACATTAAACCAAAACCATCTAATAATAAATCTAAAAAAATTAACTGTTAAGAAGAAGGTAGTTAAGAACTGTTAAGAAGAAGGTAGTTAAGAACAAAAAAGAATTAAAAAAAATCAATATACACTTTATATAAAAGCAAGCCAAAGCAC